TGTGTTCAAAATGCAGACATTCTGTCCAAAATGCTTTATTTGTTCTTGTTTCTAACTCTTAAGAGAAAAATACTGGAAGTTTAGCAAAACAGAAGGGAAACTTCTCCTGCTGAATAGAGTATGTACTGTGTTTTTGGTATTTGAGCATGGAAGGAGCCAGATGTAGTTACGGCAATCCTAACATTCAGTAAGAGTGATAACAGAACACAGATACCATGTTGTAGCCAATTATGGTGTTTATTGATTTATTTATTTTTTTAAAATCTCCCAGCATCATTTGCCATCTAACCACCAACCCCAAAAGACTTTATGTTGTAATTGATTCAAGGTCTCAGGTTCACCATTCTCTCCATCTTAAATCTAACTGAGGTTGAAAATATTTTAATATGTAAAATATTTTAGAAATATTTAATATTTAAAAATATTTTTACATAAAGGATAAATAAATTTACTGTATTCAAAGTGCTGTCAGGTGATCAAAAGAAATCTCATAAATGAATAATAGATGGGGAGAAAAAAACAGGTTCTGCTCTCCCCTTTCCTAACTCTTATGCCAGCAGGTAGGAAAGGTTGAAAATATTTTAATATGTAAAATATTTTAGAAATATTTAATATTTAAAAATATTTTTACATAAAGGATAAATAAATTTACTGTATTCAAAGTGCTGTCAGGTGATCAAAAGAAATCTCATAAATGAATAATAGATGGGGAGAAAAAAACAGGTTCTGCTCTCCCCTTTCCTAACTCTTATGCCAGCAGGTAGGAAAGCATCTTTAGGTGGAAGTATAACTTCCTGTAGTCGTGTATTCTTAAGGATAGAATTGTTAAGAGTGCAGTTTACACCGGAATGGCAGTGTAAGCTCCAAAACTCTAGGGAACAAGGACTTTGGGTCCCTCTAGCTCTAGTACAATCCTGACATTGTGGAGATCAGTGCTTTCAGCTTGCTGGGAATAGGTGAGGTTAAGAGATCCTTCAGTAGATCCAGAGGAGACAAAACTCCCTAGCAGAGAAATTTGCTTACCATCCTATCATTCTTGAAGACTTCCCTGTTGCCCAAGGCTTCCCCAGGCAGAAATTTTCCTTGAACAAATGCCACAGGATGATCACAGCTTATCAAGTATCATCACAGCTTATTTCTCAACAAAATGACCTTGGAACCATCTGTAATATTGTTACCATACATTTTAGTTTAAACAGTGTTTTGTCTTAATTCCTCCTGCATGTAAATATTTTGAACTTCTGCAAGTAGGCAGTAGCATTCTGGAATTAACCCAGGGGTTTTCCCTGCTAGTAGCAGATGCTAACTGATGTACTACTTCAGTCTAGATAGTTGCCTATGCAATGCAAAACTGGAACCCTTAAGCAGAGACATTAGAGGATTAAGAATAGCCCTGTAAAAATTTCTGCTGCCTGCTTGAGTGAATCAGCATTTTATGCTCTCTGCAAGGGTTTGAGTAAAAACAAATCAATTACCACTCATGTTATAGTAATTATTTTATTCAGATAATTTTAATGTTTCATGAGATACTTTATTATACCTTGGTGATATGGCAGATATGCCTTGAGGAAAGGCATTGAATTAGGAAAGACTGTTTTGGCTTGTTTCTAAACATAGTTGTTTGTATTACTTAAAGATGCAGAATTTAGTAGAAATGATATATTTACATGTGGTGGTGTTCTAATGGAATAAAACATACGGAACTAATTAGTTTCCCACAGTCAACTCTGGTTTTAGAGTTCATTATTTTTTTAAAGCTTTTTAAAGTCACTTAAATCCTGAAACTTAGCCAGATAAGCAGGTTGTCTCATCTTTAACAAAACCACATATAATCTCAGTTTCAAAATGAAAAAAGTCTAGATGCAGAAACTCTGACTGATGTTTAGATCTGTTCTTTCCCTATGTCGGTGGGGGAAAAAAACTAAACCCTTCTTTTAGTTTAATTTTTGAAGGGAGAATAACTATACAGCCTTCCAGGGAGTGGATAACAAAGAATAGAGAGACCTGTTGTATTTCAAGTAGGCAACCTGCAATGTAACTGAGTGCCATATCCACTCACTCACATTGTATTGTGGCGTGCTGTAGAACTACCGTGCTTATAAACTTAGCACAGCCTTTGTATAAAAGGGGTGCAAAGAATTTCTTTTCTTCCTTGTAATTATAATGCCAGTGGTCGTGTCTTAAATGTACAAGGCAAGGGCTAAATCTGCATGGCCCAACAGACCAAACCTGGCCAAATCCTGCCTGCCACTGTTTCCTGGAAAAGAAAGCAGCTGTTTTGGCTGTGAACGGTAGCACTAAAACCAAACATTTCCTTTGGAAAATTACTATTCTTCAGAGCTGGACTGTGTGTTTTCCAGATGTGACTAGAGATATATGCATTGCAGTCCCTTCAGGCAGCGACTACCATTTCCACCCCTTCTCTGCAGTAGGATTCAGCCACACTATATCCCTTTTAAGTCGTGGTCTCCTAGAGTATTGTCCACAAGAGCTCATCACCCTGTCCTTGTCTTTCCTGGAGCAGGCATCACTTCTGCTGGAGACTGGTGGTAGGCATTCCTAGGGGAGGAATTCTGAAAAAGAATATGCAAGGCAATGTTCAGGGCAAGGTGCCTGGCTGCTACTGCTACTCATGTGAGGTTGCTGCCCATGCATAGGGAGAGAGATGTGCATGCCTGTAACTTCCTGTTGTCAGACCTGTTGTGCTACAGTACTTCCTGTATGCAGATTATATAGAGTTTACATGGCAAGGTTTTGGTAGCAGGGGGGCTGCAGGGGTGGCCTCTGTGAGAAGAGACCAGGAGCTGCCCCCAGGTTGGACAGTGCCAGTTCCAGCCAGCTCCAAGATGGACCTGCTGCTGGCCTAAGCTGAGCCCATCAGCAACACTGGTGGCACTTCTGTGATAATGTATTTAAGAAAGGGTAAAAAATGCTGCACAACAGTGTGAGATAGAGAGGAGTGAGGGGAAAAAAATGTTGAGAAACAATCCTGCAGACACCAAGGTCAGTGAAGAAGGAGCGGCAGGTGTTCCATGTGCCCAAGCAGAGATTCCCCTGCAGCCCATGGAGGACCATGGCGAAGAAAGTATTTCTCTGCAGCCAGTGCAGGACCCCACGGTGGAGCAGGTGGATGTGCCCTAAAGAAAGCTGCAGCCCATGGAGAGCCCACGCTCCTGGAGCAGGCTCCTGGCAGGAGCTGTGGCCTGTGGAGAGGAGGCCATGCAGGCACAGGTTTTCTGGCAGGAACTGAGGCCCGTGGGGGTCCCATATTGGAGCATTCTGTTCCTGAAGGACTGTACCCTATGGAGAGGACACGCTGGAGCAGTTCTTGAAGAATTGCAGCCCATGGAACTGTGGAAAGGCCCCACACGGGAGCAGGAGAAAAGTGTGAAGAGAAAGGAGCAGCAGAGACAAACTGCTAGGGACTGACCACAAACACCCGTTCCCCATCCCCCTGCACCATTGCTGGGGGGAAGGTAGAAGAGTTGTGATTGGAGAAGTAGAGTTGAGCCTAAGATGGGGGGTGGGAGAAGGTGGTTTTAGTTTTGTCTTTTTTTCTTATCATTCTACTCTATTTTTAATTGGCAGTAAATTAAATTCATTTTCCCCAAGTCAAGTCTTTTTTGCCTGTGATGGTACTTGGTAAGTGATCTCCCTGTCCTATGTCAACCCACAAGCTTTTCCATCTTATTTTCTCCCCCTTGTCCTGTTGAGGAGGGGGAGTGAGAGAGCAGCTGGGTGGGGGTCTGGCAGCCAGCCAAGGTCAACCAACCACACAGATTGAGATGGTTTTTTAGTGGTCAGGTATGAAAATGAGAGTAATATGAAGTATTAGATGAAGGTGACAGAATATCAGAGCAGATCAAACTAATGTTAAGAATGTCCTGTAATGCAGGAAGGATCAGAAGAGGAGAAAACGTTATTCATAAGACTCTGAAATCACAGCAGGTGTGATGAACTGGAAGTAAACTTGTTCTGTTTTGAGGATATGAGTGGGGCAATGTAATTTTACTGTTGTATAAAAAACATTGAGTTGTTTTCAGTTCACTGGTGAAAGCATATCCTCGAAAGACCTTTTGAGAGTGCAAAATAGGCAACATATGGAAACATTTTGAAGCAAATTCACAAAACTGGTCTTCAGTGTAGCTGAGCCTATGCTGGCCTCCTTATGTCCTATTGAAGTTATGTACTCAACAGCAGGTGGCCTTATGCCATGTCCTCACCCAGGGCACAAATCAGTCTCACGTACACCTAGAAAGCACTCCATTGTATCCCACAGAGTAGGTGTATCCATTTGCTATGGCAGGAGCTGTTTCAATCCTTAAACATCAAACTGATAGATTCTTAAAAGTGCTCAAAATATCTTCTCTCTGCTATGACAGGAAATGCTGCTCAAGAAAAACTGGTACAAATTAATGTATAGGTTCAACATCAGGAAAACATAATTTCGTCTATAGAACATTCCAAGATTTTAGTATCTTTTTTTAATTTGTTTCAAAAAAAAAAGGGATCTCACAGAAATGATGACACATTTTGGTGCTATAGCAAGTCTTTTGGAATAAAATTCCATTCTAAAAACACTTAGCAGCAATATAGCTCATAGGTTAGAATCTAATATAAATAAGCTTACAAAACATTTGAAAAATTCAGCATTAGCTTAGGAGAGAAGACATTCTAAGGTTCTTTGAACTAATAAATATTAATTTTGTTTTAGAACAAGCAGATTTATTTTAAACTTAATTTAACTTTTATAAGCTAGCAATAATTTTAGTAGGAATTATTTTAGCATCATGGAATTTACCTGGCCCTTTAGTACGGGCTGAGGTGGTGTACTGAAGAGACCAAGATGCTTCAGGTGAACCAAGTTGCTGCCTTGATTGTATTATGAGTAACAATTACACAGGGAAACTTCTTTCTGTAGCACCTTAGAAAATGGAAGAGTATGTGATATTCATAGTAATGAATTTACTCTAACTGTATTTTGTCTTCCCTATCAGAATGCAATTCCTCATTCCATTCACAGTGTCCTAGTATTGACTGATAAGGAGTGTGCTTTTAGACCTCACTGGGACACAGCAATTCAGGTAAGTTAAAATATCGCTCAGAGTTGCCAAAACATGTATGTAATCTCTGGCTATATTAAACCTTACCTGCTTCAGTGTGATGCAATATTTTTAATCTTAAGAGATCTGGTGTAACTAGTGACTCCTAGTTTGGTCTAACCCAAATACGAGTATCCCACATTAGATTCTTAGCTGGCATGATTTATTCTAGCTTTGAGTCTGACCTTGAAGTTCTCTACAGGAGTGCAGTATTCTCTTCTTTTCTGCAGAGGTCAGTGGACCTGTCCTAATATGTTATCAAAAATTCTGATTTCGAAATCATGAAGTATGAGTGTAGTGGTACTAAAATGAAAGTGTCTGAAGCTGAAATTGGTTTTATCCCCTTCTTGCCCAGACATGGGCTTTATTGATGTAACATTAAAATTATCATACCAGTTTAATTATGCTGGTTTCAAACCATCGGAAGAACCAAAGCTCTGCAGATTAGCACTTGCTATGAATAACTCGGAGAGTTCTGTGACTGTTTGTTGTGCTTTTAAATTCAAGACACCAAAACAATTCTTTTAGACTTTTTCTAAAGTTCTACCTATTGTCATGTTTTGTCAATGTAGAAACTGGAACACTTCATTACAAACTGCAAGGAGGCCATTGTCTTTCTGCAAAACAGTCAGCCCACTTACAACCAACAGAACTCTCAATACTGTGCAAGTAAGTATTGATTGAAAGGATGGATTGAAATTTCTCTGTTGTCAAATAAAGAAACTTGCTTTTGAAACAACTTTAGTCTAGCAGATTAAATGCTTTCTGGTTGAATGTGTAGTGCACCAAAATGAATTTATAGCAGTAAGAGGAAATTTACAATTTTAGCTTGGATAAGAAAATGTGTTCATACTTGCCTAAATTCTAGTGTTAACAAAAGTTTTTCACCACAGTCGCTAGACCAGAAGTAGCTCACTAATGCTATCTGTCATGTCAAACCACACCTCAAACATGGCTATTCCAGCTGAATATACATGGGGTCAGGAGAACATTGGCCAGAATTTCTCCCTAAATGAATATCTGGTTTAGATCCATTTTGTCAAAAAATATAGCTAATATCTGGTCAAAAATTGCAAGTGTGGAGTAGGCACTAACAAAGTTCTCATAATTTGGATTTATTTTTGAATGTGTGTGAGTTAGATGGTGTTCCCTCTCTGGGTTTCTCTGAACAAATGGCACATAGTAATTTTCTTCTGCACAGGAAGCGCGTGATTTAGTCAGTAAACACAAGACAATAATGAAGCTTGTTTTGGAAGAGGCCTTGTTAGTAACACTCAGGCTAAAAGGTGGAACAGTCCTTGCAAGACTTAGAAAGGAGGAGTTCTGCCACACAGAACACTACCGGTAAGTACAGACTTTGGAAAAGATGCATCATTGTTGATTATGCCAGAGAACTATAGTAATCCTGGGGTGCATTAAATACAGCATAACCAGCCAGTCAAAAGAGGTGATTATCCTGTTGTATTCAGCGTTGGTGCGGCCTCATCTTGAGTACTGTGTGCAGTTCTGGGCCCCACAACTTCAAAAAGACGTTAAGGTCCTTGAATGCATCCAGAGGAGGGCACCAAAGTCGGTGAAAGGGCTGGAAGGCATGTCCTGTGAGGAGCGGCTGAGGACACTGGGTTTGTCTAGTTTGGAGAGAAGGAGGCTGAGGGGCAACCTCATTGCTCTCTCCAGCTTCCTGCGGAGGGGAAGAGGGGAGGGAGGTGTTGATCTCTTCTCCCGGGGATCCAGTGGTAGGACACATGGGAATGGTTCAAAGCTGTGTCCATCAGGGGAGGTTCAGACTTGACATGAGGAAGCATTTCTTTACTGAGAGGATGGTCAAACACTGGAACAGCTTCCTAGAGCCCAAGCCTGTCAGCGTTTAAGAGGCATTTGGACAATACCCTTAGCAACATGCTCTAACTTTTGGTCAGCCCTGAATTGGTCAGGCAGTTGGACTAGATGATCGTTGTAGGTCCCTTCCAACTGAAATAGTGTATTCTATTCTATTCTAATAGAAGGAGAAGTGGAAATAGCCATTTACTTCATTTGTAAGTTTAGATTGTCTTTTGGTCTGTCCCTCTAATGCATGGCTGCTGCAGCTTTATTTTTAAAGAAGATCTAGGGCTATCCAAAATTCAGCTGTAGCTCACCTTCCATAAAGACAAAGTAATAAAGTTCTGATTCAGTAAATCCTGTCACGTCTAAGTGTATAGATTTCAAGTTTCATTAGAGCACAGTTTGAGTGAGTTGAGTTTTAGACTGATGATTCTCAAGTGGGGAGAACTTCATGTATACAGCCTTAAAAGGTCTTCTATGCCATGCGTTGTTTTGCAGCTAGAATCAGATACACTTAATATTCTTGGACACTTTTTGAAAGTGCAGCCATCATGTTAATGTGGTTCTGAGTAAGGTACATTTTCATTTGACAAGTTGAATAAACTAATATACTTTGTAGTTACTGGCTTGTTTGCAGTGACATTCTTCAGCAAAATAGGGATTGATGCCTTCTGAAGGATGCAGTTCACCTTCTGACAAAGTCCATGTCAGAAAAATTCTGTTGACCTTTCCTCCCCACCTAACAGAGATGCCATGGAGTTTGTAACCAGATTGTATAATCAAGTAGATGAGGAAGTCCATAGACTGGTGCTGTTATCCAATAAATGCCTCCAGCAGCTGGGGAATCTTGGAGAAGCCATAAATTTTGAAGAAGACTGTGACCAGGTCAGCATTACTTTTTGAGAATTGTATTAAACAAGTTACAGTTTTAAGCTTCTTTTTCTCTGTTTAAATAGCTGAATTTATCTGACGTTATGTATATTGGTGTTTACATATTAGTGCTGCTCAGAGACAATGTGTGAGTAGTGCTATTAATATTAGCAGTTTATGAGTATGCAAAACAAATTATAGTCATCAGGTCAGTATTACAAGCTGACCAAATTCAGCTGAAATATACGAGGTAGATAAGAGAGATACATATGAGGTATATTAACTTACTTTAACAAACAGACTAATTTCTATGCACTATATTTATGGATAGTGTATGTTTGATTTACTGAGTGGGGAAACAAGTTTTGTTTGGTATTTTTATGGAGATAAAACCATGGTTTGAAAATTAGCAAATCTTGGCTCTTCAGATCAAGAAGGACTTTCACTGGAAAAAGTAAGAAAGTTACAAGAAGATTTCCAGGTTTTGATTGACAAGGCAAAGTAGGTAGCGTGCTAATAAGGAACATTTCCTTTGCATTTTCACAGATGTTGAAAAAAATTACTGAAATATGTGGATTTGAGTGGAAGAGGGAAGTATATTGTGGAGAAATGTTAATTTTTGCTGGCAGCATGACCATGGTATGTCTGTACTGGGCAATGAAGATTAAGCCAGGTGCCTCTATGAAATTTAGACTGAGCTGGTACAACCACATGGCTCAGTTGCAGCAGCAAGAAGAGCAGTATTTCCAATGTATTAATGTAGCATGTGGCACACAAGAAGTGCTTCTATAAGTACGTAACTAGCTAAAGGAATACTAGGGAAAATGTGGGCCTGCTACTGAGTAGGCTAGGGGCCTTGATGACACAGGATGTGGAAAAGGCTGAAGTACTGAATGCCTTCTTTGCCTCAGTCTTTACTAGCAAGACTGGCTTAAGGAGTCCCAGAGACCAGGGGGAAAGTCTGGAGCAAGGAAGATGTACCCTTGGTGGATGAGGATCAGGTTAGAGAATACTTAAGCAAACTGGACATACTTAAGTCCATGGGCCCTGATGGGTTGCACCCACAAGTGCTGAGGGAGCTGGCAGATGTCATTGCAAGGCCACTCTGAATCATCTTTGATCAATCGTGGTGGCTGGGAGAAGTGTCTGAAGACTGGAGGAAAGCAAATGTCACTCCTATCTTCAAGACAGTCAAGAAGGAGGAGCGAGGGAACTAAAGGCCAGTCAGCCTCACCTCTGGAGGCTGAAGGGTGGAGCAACTAATCTTGGAAACCATTTTCAAACACTTGAAGGACATGGAGGTTATTGAAAGCAGTCATCATGGCTTCACCAAGGGGAAGCCATGCTTGACCCATCTGGTAAACTTGTATGATTAAATGACAGGCCTGGTAGATGAGGGGAGAGCAGTGGCTAGTGTCTACTGAGCCTTCAGTAAGGCCTTTGACACTGTCTCCCATAAGAGCCTCATAGCCCCCCAAGCTGTTGCCGTAGGGGCTGGATGAGCAGACAGTGAGGTGGATTGAAAACTGGCTGAATGGCCAAACCCTGAGGATGGTGATCAGTGGCACAAAGTCTAGTTGGAGGCCAGTAAGACGCAGTGTACCCCGGGGGTGCTTACTGGATCCAATACTGTTCAACATCTTCATTAATGACCTCGATGATGGGGCAGAGTGTACCCTCAGCTTATGATACAGAACTGGGAGGTGTGGCTGATAGGCCAGAGGGTTGTACTGCTGTTCAGAGGGACAGGCCAGAGAATAGGGCCAACAGGAACCTCATGAAGCTCAACAAGGAGAGGTGCCAAGTCCTGCACCTGGGGAGGGAGAACCCCATGCACCAGTATATGCTGGGGGCCACCAGTATATGGTGGGGACCACCCAACTGGAAAGCAGCTTGGCAGAAAAGGACCTGGGGGTCCTGGTGGACACCAAGTTGAACATGAGCCAGCAGTGAGCCCTTGCAGCAAAGAAATCTAATGGTATCCTGGGCTGTGCTAGGCAAAGTATTGCCAAGTGGACTAAGGGAGGTGCTCCTTCCTCTCTACTCAGCACTGGTGAGGCCACACCTGGAGTACTGTGTCCAGTTCTCGGCTCCTCTGTACAAGAGAGACATGGACGTACTGAAGAAAGTCCAGCAAAGGGCCAGGAAGATGATTAAGGGACTGGAGCATCTCACGTATGAGGAAAGGCTGAGAGAGCTGGGACTGTTTAGCCTGGAGAAGAGAAGGCTCTGGGGAGATCTCATCACTGTGTATAAATATCTAATGGGAGGGTGCAAAGAGGACGGAGCCAGGTTCTTTTCAGTGGTGCCCAGTGACAGGACCAGAGGCAATGGGCACAAACTGGAACACGGGAGGTTCCCTGTGAATATCAAGAAACTTTTTCACTGTGAGTGTGACTGAGCACTGTCACAGGTTGCCCAGAGTGGTTGTGGAGTCTCCATCCCTGGAGATACTCAAAAGCCATCTGGATGTGGTCCTGGGCAACCGGTTCTAGGTAACCTTCATTGAGCAGGGGGTTGGACCGGATGACCTCCAGAGCTCCCTTCCAACCTCAACCATTCTGTGATCTCCAGTACAGATAAAAGTTGCCAGCACTTTTGGATGTTTTCAGAGGAGACTCTTGTCAACACCCCTCAGACAGTGACTGGCCATCCTGTCCAAGAGCTTTCAGATCAAGGCATAGCCCATTTCAAACATCCCAATAAAACTCATTTAGCAATATGTCACTGCAGTAATTTGTGTAACAAGTATTACAACTGAGCTGAAAAGCTTTGATTTCCAAGTAGGACAGTGGGACTGAACCAATGGAGTTACCCGGGAAAAACACCCTTTAAGTTTCATTAGATTGTGGATCAGGCCTGTAGACATCTTCTCCTAGGTGTCTACAGAAAGGTTTAAAAAACTTGCCATTTGCTATGGTAATATGAGTAAGTTTTTGGGGGAGGCCAGCCATTGCGCCATGTGTTTGGGTTATATTCAACAAAAGCAGTGGGAGATGCAACTAGCAGCTACATAGGAAGGGAAACGAAGGTGGAAAAGGAGACTTAGATGCTCACTGATTTTTGTTGGGTAGAAAAGTTCATTGTGTGAAATTCTTACTTCTGATGAAGGTGTTCCTTCCAGGAGAATAGTTTTGTTGACCAAAAAATGAATTTGACTGGACTTCATCATAAGGATGGATTGTTACTGCAGCTTTCTCTGCTATTAAATACTCATTTAAATTTTCTCTATTTGTTTTTCTGTTCCATTGTGATGTTCTCTTTCCTTCTACACCCTCCCAAATCCAAACTAAAAAAAAATACCACGACAGAACACAATTTAAAAAATAGATGCATGCAAAATCAGCAAAACTGTATTTTTCAGCTTTCGTGTGCATTACAACTGACACCGTAAGATTTGTTAATGTGGTGTGCGGCTAATGAGAAGCAAGAATGTGAATAGTAAGTGAAGTGATATATCATACGGCTTGTTTATTTTTCTTTTCATACCCTAACAGCAATATTATGGGAAAGGAGTGCAACTGGTGCAAGACGATAGTTCATTAAATATGGAAGAAAAAGTTCAAATCCTTGAGAAATACCTGAGTAACATTATCATTCAGACAGAGAGGAGGAAGACTGAGCTGACAAAACTAGTCAATTTGTGTGAGTTTTATGAGATGGTAAGAGAAATATGTTTGCATCTATGCCTTAAGCTAGGCTTTGTTGAATATAAGAGGAATCAGGCAGGGACAGCAGACAAACTAGTGTTACTTGGCAGTCCCATACAATCTCTTGAAGAATTAAAATTAGAATTTGGACAAATAAACAGGGCATTTAACTGTTATCACAGAACATCAAGGAGCAGATAACTCAGAGTTCCTGTTGTGGAATCCCAAAGAATCAATTGTGTGACAAGCAGGAGTTGTATTAAGAGTAATGTAAAATTTTCAGCTCAACTGGTTTTCAGCTGAATTAGACAAAATTTCTCTAATGGCTGCATACAACATCTCTCCTCTCTCTGCAAGTACATATGCAGGATTTTGAGAAACCTGTACAGTGCACTGTTTCTTATGTTCTATCTGAATATATGATCTCCATGCATATATGCCTTGCGAGCCAGAAATTTTGATCATTCAGTCTTGAACCTGAAATAAAGCCATACATCTTCTTTCTGTTTAAATGAATCATTCTTTCATAGTTTCAGTAATACTGGTGAGGGGTCTGGAGAACAAGTCTTATGAGGAGCGGCTGAGGGAACTGGGGTTGTTTAGCCTGGAGAAAAGGAGGCTGAGGGGAGACCTCATCGCTCTCTACAACTACCTGAAAGGAGGTTGTAGCGAGGTGGGTGTTGGTCTTTTCTCCGAAGTAACAAGTGATAGGACGAGAGGAAATGGCCTCAAGTTGCG